CCAGGTGGTTGAGTATCAGATTGTTCCATCTCATTTCCCTTTGGGGTTGCTGTAGGTGATCCAGAAGTCTGTTTTTTAGGCTTGTTTACGTGTCTTCTCATTTCCACGGAGGGGGGCGTACTTCTTGCACCCACGCGGCTCATCTTCTGTGCCCTAGGAGCTTGGGATGGCAGCCTATTATTAGTCTCTTAACTCTAGAATACAATTTATTATACAGCATTAGGGATTCAGTTTACAACTCAGCCTGGAGGTATGTTTTCTGATACACTTCAGTGATCTCTCCTCAAAATGATACCACTTGGTTCTGAGGAGTGTGACACATAAAGATCCTCTATGCAGCATTCCACAAATTTATTCTAGAAAGCACACAAGAAAAAAAAAGGTTGTGGTATGGTGACTCTGATTTGGGTAAAAGAAATCTGTCCCTTTAAGTGGTGAGGGCGTGTGTTTAACAGAGTATCTAGGGACTGATTAACTTCCTGGTATGGCATAATTTTCTCAGATTCTTGACCCAACACATTGGAGATGGACAGCTAACCCTTAGGGAGGAGGCTTTGATGTGTTCCAGGCAGTGAAAATCTTAATATGATGCTAATGACAACAGTTCATGCACTAAGGCATCTTTCCTTTCTCCATCCTCTTCACCACCCTCTCCTCCCACAATGGCCTGACAAGTACAAGTAGCCTTTGCCTCAAATGAATTATGAATGGGAACATGTAAATATAAAATGTATTTTAAAAGTCTTTTGTTGTTCTAACAGTGGCCAAGAGCTTTCAGAGCTAGGAATCTTGTCATTTTTAAATCAGGCAGGGACTCAGTTGCCTCATCCAGGCAAACCAGCTAATCAGCTCAATTCCCAACTCTAGCCTGTTCTCAGAAAATTTTTGGCTGAGAAGGGAAATGAGTAGAGGAGTCACTCAGTCTACTGGACCATGGTAGAGTTATATAGACTGTAGGATCTACGTGCTAGGAAAATACCTTTACCTGGTTTTGGGTAGAAGTTCAGGAGACCCATTGGTTATTATCCCTTTCCTTCCATGGCATTGGGCAAGTGATTATGAAATCAGAGTAGGCTCTTGGAAATGACATGCCACTGGAACTGGGGAAGGGTAGAAATGCCACAGAGCCAGGCCAGAAGAACCCTCCACAGTTAATGGGAGGCTTTAAAACTGGAGCAATAGTGATACTAGCCTTAAAAAATATGCCAGTAAGCTATCAATGAACTGAGCAGAGGTTGTAGTGATGAGAAAAGGAAAGAAAATGCTGATTGTATTCAACTTCTTGGGAATGTATTATTCACTGTCTGGGTGAGTGCTTGCATGACTGTTTCCCCAAATGGCATGATCCCAGTGACCTTTGAAAGACATTTATTTTTTTTTCTTGGTGCCCTCTCTCTTTTAGAATGGGAATGTGCTTTGCAGCCGAGTCAGATGTCCAAATCTTCATTGCCTCTCCCCTGTGCATGTTCCACATCTGTGCTGCCCTCGCTGCCCAGGTAAATCAGTTTGCCTCTTTCTTTCCCAGCTCTGTTTCTTGTGTTTCCCCCTTCACCCAACCCAACCCATCTCCCTCAATTCTGCAGAATGGAACCTTCCAGACAGAAGTAACAACAAGACACTTTTATGCAACTCAAACTGGCCTCTACCTACTGTTTATAGCCCAACTGGGACACATTCTAGGCTCTAACAACTTACTGGGTACCCAATGACAAATTTTCATTGGACTTCTAATCATTTGAAGGGGCATGTTAATTGAAGGACGGGAGGGCCAGGGATTTAGCTCAGTGATTCTGGCACCTGCCTCACAAGCACAAAGTCCTGAGTTTGATCCCTGGTGCCCCCCCAAAAATGTCTAACTGAAGAATGGGAATAGCCCAGATATTTTCTGCCATAAACAGCTTCTTCCTGCCATGGCCATGGGCACCAGGGGAATTGTAGCATTGCGGCACGTGTCCTGTGCAATTAGTGCCAGAATTCCTTCCAAGCATAGCTTCAGAATGATGAGGGATTGTTCATAAATCAAAGGAGCTGAACAAGTGAGGTTTATGACAGCCTGCTGAATAGTCCCCTCCTCCAGTCTGCACAGTTATTATGTACACATTGTTAAAGAGCAACTCTGGGGAGAGCCAAGCAGAGAGTTTTTCACAAGGCTGTTAGATCTACTTTCATGATTTGTGGTTAGGGTATTTTTCTGAGGCAGGGACTCACTCAATGACACTTTGTTCACATCTGACTATAGTCCGATTCCCTCAGCAAAGGCATAGAACATGGATTGATTCAGAAAATACCTGTGGGCTCAAAGGCAGTCCTAGGAAAAGCTATGTGACAGTCTCGGGATCTGCCAAGTAGAAGCCTTGTCATCTTGGAAGTCAATTCTGTTTTCCTCTGTGACTGAAATTCTTAAGTTAAGGTGTCTCGGTGGACTTTAGGGAGTCAAAGAACCCTTTGAAATTGATTTCAGTTTTTGGCGTAACTATGTATAGATGTAAATTCTTTCAGTGGATCTGTAGCTTTATTGCTATTCCTTAATTGATATTCCTGTTTGCATTCCTTTATAAAGTATACTTTCCTACATCAGTAAATACACACTAATGAACAGAGGCTATTCTTTCCCAGGTAGCAAGAGATGACACCATATCACAGATTTATCATTCTCAGTACTGATTATGATATAGTATATGTTTTAAGATGTAAAAAATTGCCTTAGTATATGACCAAGCTAAAATTGTTTCGGAATAAAGTCCTACATGAGGTTTATTATTATTGTATGTGTTTAATTGCTTTCACTTAAACTGAATTCCAAGGATTTGGTATAATGAGGGGCTGTGATGAATGGAAGCAGTATTTCTAAAAAAAAAAAAATGGCTTCTTTACAGCACTTTATTTTTTAACCTGCTAGGTAGCCTCTTGAACAGATTTATAAAAGCATTCTTTTGCAGAAGTCTTCAAAAGTTGTCTAATTTTGTAGGAACTTATCTAAAGCACTATGTAGAGATTGTTTTTCCCTGAGAAGAAGGTTGAGGCATGACCCTGATGTATAGCATAGGGCAAAAGAGCATAGAATGGAATAGGGCTGTCACCTAGAAAGCAACTGGTACGAAGCAGGTTTTGAGAAAAGGAGAAATTATAAGCTAGCAGCTATTTTAAGAGGAAAAGAAACTTTAAAATAATTGAGGTCATAAGATCCAGGGAGAAAAAATTGAAAGAAATAACATCATTTTTAATGGAGTATAGAAATAAGCTTTTCTTTTTTTCTTTGTACTCTTACAGTTTTCTTTGTGAGTTTTCTCTCTTAACCAGTCTCTCTCTTAACCAATTTTCTACTGATTAATTATGCAAGCTCTTTCTATAGATAGTGGTACAAAAGTTCTTATCCTTATATCCAAAAATGTCTTATTTTGCCTTCATTTTTGAAAGATAATATAGATGAGCATAAAATTACGAGTGCAAGTTCATTTTTCATCAGCACTTTGAAAATATTACTAAATGGTTTGTTATTTTTCTTTGTGGTTAAGAAGTCAGCTCTTAGATAATGCTTCTTTTGCAGGTCCTTTTATTTTCCCTTCTAGCTTTTAAAGTTTTTGCTTTTTCTTTGATGCGAACAAAGAAAGGTATAAATGTGTGATTTATGTTTCTTTAGCTTCCTTATGATTTTTTCAGCCAATGTACTTCAATTTCTCTTCAATTTTAGTCATTATTTTTGTGAAAACTAACTTTTCCTCTTCTTTCTTCTCATTTTCAAAATTGTCTTTGATGTAGCTTCCATTTCATGTATCCTTTATGTTTCTTAATATCTCTTTCATTTTTAACATCTTGATATACTCTGTATTCTCCAATTTGCAAATTCTTTTCACACACACTATTTAGGCCATCTGTTGGATTTGGTTTGTTTCTCTTATCTTACTTAACTATATATTCCTCCACATTCTCAAATCATTTTAAAAATGTTACTACATGTTACTATTTTGTAATTCCTTTTTATTATTTATTGGGATTTTGTATTTCTTTAAAGTATAGTATTTGAAATTCATTTAATGTACACTTTAGATTTTTCAACTATTATATTTTTAGAGGTAATTTCTGACCTTTTGGGGCTGCCTGACAGATTTTCTTAGTACTAATATATTCTTTTATTTCTAGTTTTTGCTTGAAACGTTCATTACCCATAGAGATTTTATCTTTCATAAGCCCTTTCTTCCTTATATAATGGTTGCTTCAGGCCTTATAGCTTGCTTAACTCTAAAGCAGGTCATGTGTTTGTGTCTCAGCTTGAGCACCTCATGCCTGGGTGGTCTGTTTCTACCTCTATTTTCTTGTGCAGTGTTGAGTCTCTGACTGGGACCTCAACTACAGCCGTCTACCTTGGACATTTTAGGGAACAGCTTTGGGTGAGCAGTACTATGTCAGCTCCTTCTTATATCTGATCCTGGTTCCAGATGTGTTAGTCAGCTTTCTCTTGCTATGACAAAATACCTGAGAAAATCAAATTTAAAAAGGAAAAGTTTACTTTGGCTTAGTGTTTCAGAGGTTCCTTTGAGGGCATCTCTCCATCGACTTAACTTTCCTCCACTAGGCCTCACTTCCTAAAATTTCCACCACCTCTCAGTAGAACCATAGGCTGGCAGCCAAACCTTCAATACATGAACACTTGGGAGACACTCAAGATCCAAAGTATCATAGCAGCAGCTTCACACAGGAAACTGATTATAGTCTGTAGTTCCTCCTTAGCTGTTTAGCACTTAATATTTGTATCTAGTTTCAGCTACCAATGGAACATATGTCTTTGGCCCATATATTCCTGTACTTTACTCCTATGTTTTCTTCTACATACAGTTTCATATTGCTTTTATGATTTTTTGATTTTCAAGTTTCATATATTTGTTTTTCTAGTTTCACATGTTAATTGCTTTGCTTTATTTTGAAAAGGACAGGGAGATTTTTCACATGCCCTGTTTGCCATATTGAACCAGAATGCAACCAGCTATTCTTTCTTTCTATTGAAGATAAAACAAAAGCAAATAGGTTTAAAACATTACACAGAGGAATGTAGTTTTATGCAAAGAAGAACCTTGGAAAACAGTTGCTGTTAAATCCTACAATAAATGACTAAGGAGTATTTTAGTTTCTTTACTGAATTTCTAGAAATAAAATTTACCTACCCATCTAAGATAGAGTTGGCACAGTCTCACTTTGAGACAGGGCAGTGATTGTGATGACTCCTCTGTATTCCTTCCATCCCAGTGATTAAGCATGAAGAAACTCATGCCTTTGGGGCCACAGGAATGTTTGGTCAAAGGAAGGGGCTTTGGTTTTATGTCTTAATCCAATAAAACACACTGTAATGAAAATGTCCTCTTTCAAAAATAGAATATTTAATGCCAAGGTGATGAACAAACTGTATATCAAAAAGAGAAAACAAATAAGCAGTATATTTCAAGTAATGATTTTACATACTCTTTTACAGCAGTATAACATAGGGGAGCATTCACCTAAATAGTGACAAACTTGCTGAGAGGGCCCTCCCCAACATACTTAGAGGTCTTTCTATTTTTCCCATGGATCTTACTTCCTAAACTGCTTGTCGTTGAATTTTGTAGTGATTGCACATGTAATTGATGTTGTCTCCTGCTAAACCGTGGAAATCAGAGTATGCTAATTACTTTTCTAGAATTACCAGAGAGAAATGTATACTGATTCCCATGAACAGCAAGTGAACTTTTCTTTTCAGCAGCATTGTACAAGTCTTCATGGCAAAGGCTGTCTTGGTCACAGATCACAGGGCTCTACTGGGCTTAAAGAAGCTGGTGCTCCATGGAATCTTGAACATTTTTAATAGCAGTGAAAACTGCACAATAGTTGTTACAGTCACTAAATTCCCTAATCACTAAGTCAGACTTTAATGTGGTCCCTATAAATGAGAAATATGTAGAAATAATTTCTCTATCTTACCTTTTAGGGGAATGAAATGGTAAAGGGAGGACAAGAGAATGAATGTGTATATATATTTTTTTTTTAATCACCAAAGGAAGGCTTTTATACTGACCATGGACCTAAAAGCCTAAATTGTGATATTACCTAAAAGGTTGTTTTTATTGTCATTCCACTGAGAATTTGCTTTTCAGAATTAATGGATTTGGGTTCCCTTGGAAGCATTTCAGCATTCCTGGGTTATTAAAGAGCTCTTATAAAATTGCCAAAATAACTGATTTGATTTGGTTACCAAAGACCTAATCCACAGTGTTTTCTTTCAGCTAGGTGTGAAACAGTTTGGCTCTATGTGTTTTTAAGAGGGAAAGTAACAATGATTTTGCCAAGAGAGGTTTCGCGAGTGGTTTTTCCAAAAGAGGAACCCCTCACACCAGTATTTTAAGTTCCACATAGTGTAAGGAAATGACTTTTTGAGTGATGCAGTGCACTCCTATAAGAAGAAGGCAAGAAGCCCCATGTCATTTCTTTGTTGACAATAGTTGGGTTGTGAGGGAGCTAGCAAATCCAG